CCCGGCGGCGCTGCTGTTCGGCGGTGCTTTGGAGAGAAACGGGGGCGGGCTGGGCCGGGCTGGGCCGCGAGTTCGAGTCCCGTTCGAGGCGCCTCGTCCCGGTGCCTCTCCTGTGCCGCCACGGTCTCGCCCCTAGGCCGGGGAGTGGCGGAGCGCGGCTCCGTGCGGGTTCCGTGGAGATCCCGGTCCCTTCGGTTGCCCGGTGAGGGTGCAGTGGCTCGGGCGGCCGCCAGGGCGGGACAGAGCTCCGCCGGTCCGGTGCCGGTCCCGGGGGAGCCGCTGCCCATCGCGGGCCGGGGGAGCGAGGCGGATCAGGGGCTCCCCAGGGCTGCGGGAACGGAGAGATCCGTGGTTACAGACACGGGGAATGAGATTCCGCCTCACGGAGCGAAGCTGTGACTCGCCGCACAGCGAGGTCCTGTCCCGCACGTCCGTGAGGGCTTAATTAGGAAAAGCGCATTAATTGGGGAAGGCTGGGGTGCACGTGTCCAAAAACATCAGAATCAGAAACGAATCCCAGAATCCTTAAAGCTGAAAAAGCCCTCTGATATTACCGAGTATCGTGTTCCCCAGTAAACCTCGAGGCGAACACTCCAGGGATGATGATTCCAGCACTGCTCCAACCATTAACCACCATTTCTGCGATGAAATTTTCCCAAATTGCCAATCTAAGCCTCCCCTGGCACGACTCGAGCCTGGTTCCCTGGGAGCACAGCCTCTGTGTCCACCCTCCTGTCAGGCGCTGTGCACGGGGAGCAGGCCCTGACCATGGCACAGGGTGGAATGAGACGATCTTGAAGGTCCCTTCCATCCCACAGCGGTCTGTGACTCCATGAAAACAGCTCTTTGGGAATCAAAAACATAGAAAAAGCACAAAACATTCCCTCCTGAGCCTCCTTTTCTCCAGGCTGAGCTCTTCCAGCTCCCTCAGCCGCGCCTGGTGCTTCAGGCCCTTCACAAGCTCCGTGGCTCTGCGAGTGCAGCTCGATTTTACACAAACACGAAGCTTTTTAGGGGGGTGAACCCCCGTTCCAGCACCAGAAGAATGTCTGTCATTCACCAGCCTGGCCCCCCGTGCTGATACTGTCACAGCCGGCACCCAACAACGAGCCTTGCAGAGGAAAACACAACGACCTAAACAAACATCTTAATCAAGGGTCATTATCAGTGTGAGAGCTGTTCCTGCACGCTTGATCATTAAAGCAGGGGAATATCCTCAAAGCCCCGGCCAAGCAGGGGAAGCAGCACTTTGATGCTGGTGTGGGAACCAGAGGCAGCGCTGTGATTTTTAAGTGCCTTTCATCTCCCTCTTTTGTAGGAACATTCTTATAAACCAGCTTGTCAAATACAATTTCCCTGTGCAGGCATGAGTTGCAGATAAAGCCCTGGTTCTCCCTTGGTATTTCCCCCAACAGGTGTAATCCGAGGAAACATGGTTTTAATTAGCCTGATTGGCTTTTTGTGTGCTAAAGACCATCAATAGTTCACATCTGTGTCTATAGTTAGATATTTATGTTGCATATTTAACCCCCTCCTACAGGGGTACACAATGCAAACATCAACAATGGGACCTCAGCTTTGCTGTTTTCCTGATAAATACGTGATTATAAAGAATTGCCACGTTAAAGCATTCAATCCCTTTTAACCTGAAGTTTTCTAGCTGGTTTGCTGTACTCAGCAGTAGTTCTGGATTTAAGTTACCCATTATAAATGAAAACCTTTGCCAGTGAGGACAACGTGTGTCCTTCTCCCCTGCTTCACAGAATGGTTTGGAAAGGACCATAAAAATCATCAAATTCTACCCCCTGCCATGGGCAAGGACACCTTCCACTATCCCAGGCTGCTCCAAGCCCCATCCAACGGGGCCTTGGACACTTCCAGGGATGGGACAGCCACAGCTTCTCTGTTCCTCAGCTCACCTGGGATACAACACAAACGACTCTGACCTTTTACTGGTAATTTATTCAGTCTTCAGGTTGCACACAGCCAGAAACACAACCTTGCCCCACAAGCTTGCTATGAAAAGGATCATTCTTTGAGTTTAGAAACATGGAAAATGCTAAAGGAGGGTATCTCTATCCCTTACCAGTATTCTGCACTATGTTGGCCAACTGGACAATCAGAGTTTTATTTATTTACTCATTCAGTCGCTGTGATTATTCAGACTACCCCAGCCACATTACCCCCTGTGTGATTTGAGCGCCCGAGATGAATTTGGCTCCTTTTGTACATTCTTCAGGGGCTGATTTCAGCTTCAGCAATAATTCCTCAATCAGGGCTGGAGCAGCTGCGAGCAACTTTGTGAGCAAACACCAACAGCCTGGAGGGAGAAGCAATACAGAGTAGCAGTTTCTAAATGTCCCATCTAATTGAGCAGGAATAATGAAAACAAAGAGTGAAAAAAACCAAGCCCTCCAGCATGTAAACAAATAGTTCAGGTGCAGGGATTTCTCAGAGCACCAACATACCTGCCATGGCAATAGCCAGTGCTAATCTTGTTTTACGCCAACACTCCCGAACCCTTCCCTCTGTGTGGGATGTGATTTTAGTGCTTCTCAGCCCTTTTCACCTGGAATGCTGAGTCAGCCGTGCTTGCCATGATCCAGTCACTCCTCAGCATCTTCTGGTGCTGAGAGAGCTGGAAATCAATCTCCCAAAACTCTTTACCCACACGAAGTGAAGATGAGCTTGTTGGTGGGACTATGTGGGTTGGTTGGTGTGGGAAGAAGCATAAAGTGTGAGAGTTTGAAACTGGGGCCATTTTTCTTGTTTCTTGTTTAACTTTGCCTCAGCCCCAGCTGGATCTGTGACACCACAATCATGTCATGTACCACCAGTTGGTTGGTCACCAGATGCCCTCATAAATCTAAGTAATTTAGGGCTAAACACTTAAAACCTAAATTTTTGCATCCTTATTACTCTAAGATTCAAAAATCTTAACTGACTTCTAGTTTGAATTACCTTGTGGATAATTGATTAGTAGCTATCTATTTGCTTCTTTCCATGGTATTTAGCCCCTCTCTTTCCTCATCCTGTCCCTCTGACCACTCCTCATGGAAAATCCTGTGCTTTGCAGCCCCTCTTGTTGAACGAGCCACACTCTTGCAATGTCACATTGTTTTCCATGTCCTCATAAACCCCTTTTTTTCATCTATTCCAGGCCAAATTTCTGCCTTGCCCATGAGTGACTTGGTTTTACAGTGGACCAGGCAGGAGAGGATCCTTCTAATGCCCTCTCACTTTGGGATGAGCCTCTCCCAGCCCCACTGGCAGCACTGGAGCTGTGCTGGGCTGGTACTGGGATGGGAACGTGTGGGAGAAGCCTGGAAGGCTGGGCTGTGTGGGATTCGTGAGCAGCTCATGTGTGAGTCACGCTGGAGGCAGACAAACTCCATTTAGTGCATTCCAGATGGGCTGCAGCCAGGCACAGGCAGGGGGATGACACATAAACCCATCTCCAGGGTGTCCCCCTGGCTATTGAGATCCTCACTGGTGACACATTTTGCAGGGGAGAAGAGGGGTTTGCTCTCTGTTAAAATACCCCTTTCCATGTAGTTTGATGTTCCCTTTCCTGGAATGTCACCTCCCTGACCTCTGAAGGTGCATTTCACTGCTGTGGGTGGCACATCAAGCGCCACTGTCATCACACCAGTAGCTGACCAGTTGTACAGCAGGTGTTGGGTGGCCCTGGATCTGTCTGGGGCTGGACACCAGCCCCATCCACACACAAGCTCTCTCCCTCCTCAGCCATGGAGTGGAAAATACCAGCATTCCAGGCTTATGTGATTTGGGAGGAGGTCAATGACTCTGCTATTTATAACCAGTTATTTGGGGACTTTGCAGCTGCATTTGCACTGCAGAGTCCCTGTGGGGTAGAGAAAGAATTAAATTAAATTAAATTACCTTAAAAATCTTGAGCACAGCAAGGACAGCAAACATTTCTGGGAGGTGGTTGTGCCCAGAGTGGCACAAGTAAAACTGTCTCTCTGGTGCTGCTGTTCCTGGTTTGTTTGAAGATGCATGAAGGATATTCTTTAAAACAATTTTTCCATGTTTCCCCTTTCAGATCTTGACCTGATGGCCTGAGGATATCAAAACACCCACAGCAGGTAAAGAGCCCCTCCTGCCTTGCTCAGGTGTCTCAAGTCAGTGAGAGTTTAGTACAAGTTAAAGGGAAATTTTCATTGTCCAAAGCTCTTCTCTATGTTTTTACACAGAGAACAAGATGTAGAGGAAGCTCCAGCCCTCAGTGCAAGGAGCAGCTCTGAAAGACAGCAGGTGTCAAATCCAGAATTCAACTGACCCGTAACAAAAACACCAAATTCCAGTTTTAGTAAAATCTAGATGCCCAGAAGCATCATTTATTGCAAATCAGTTAACCAAAAAAAATACATCATTTTTGCAAACTACAACTTTGCATGTAGATAACTTTATTACAGAAGATATCTTTTCTTAAACTACACTCTAGTTTATAAAACATAGGAAGATTCAACACCACGTGATGTTTTTATCACTCATATTAGGCGTGTCACAATAACAATGGTCTGAAATGTTAACTAAGATGAGTGCTCAGCAAGGCGCTGTGCCTTGAGAAATATCCATTTTATTTGGTGTTCTAATAGAGAAGAATGAGGAAAAGGAACCCTTTTCTTAGGTTTTCTTGATTAACTGCTCTCTATCTGCCTGTCCCATACACATTATCTAGTCTTGGAGTGTCTGCTTGCTTTTGCACCCGAGTGAGTGATATTCCAACACCTCTATAAGGTGATATATTTATGATATATTTAAGACTTGCTCATTTAGATTTTTGAAACAAAATCCACCTTTTCTTGAAAAAAAAAACAAAACAAAAAACCAAACCAAAAAAACCCCCATATTTACAAACATTAAATCTGCCACAGGCTTATACTATATTTTACATGATACACAGAGAGAGTGCACATCAATATAAAAAAAGATGCATCACTCCAGGCTAACGTCACAGAACAAAATGTCAACGTTTCACAGCACAGCTGTGCTGGCCCCTCGCCCTCCAGTTTGGCCAGTCCAGCCTCCCACCAAAACCAGCAGCACATCCCACTGGGCACCCAGTGAGGGCTCTGCCAGAGGAGCTGGGGCCGGGCGAGCACGTGGGGGTGGCAGTGTGATAATGCTTTGTAATCTCACTCAGGGTGTCTGCACTGCCAGACACACCTTCTTTTAAAAAATAGGCAGGCCATCCTTAAAATAAGGATGTGGTTTACAAAGTTTATATTGGCATTTATTTCTTAAAACGGTTACTCAAAGGCAAACATGAAAACAAAACAAAAAAAAAAAATCAGTAAAGATATTCAAAGTAAAATTAAGTCTCCTTTGTGTATATACTCCATACTTACGGGCTTGCTCTCTTGGAAGTTTGGCAAATACATTTCTTTTTGATGGGGGACAGTATTCATGTTTTGTAGGGTGGTTTTTTTTAGCTTAGAAACTGTTCTTACAGGTCTATAATCCTGATTTTCTTTTTCTTTTTTTTTTTTTTTTTAGATCATAAAAATCATTTAAATATATATATTTTTATATATATATAAAAACAAGAGAGAACAAAAATTTCTATTATCAAGGCAAATGTACAACTATATAATACTGAAATTTAAAAAAAGATTCATGACTGGTACCATAAAATGTCCTCTCATATAATTGCAAAGGAAACATTTTAAAGTACATTTAAAAAATGTGTCCATACTTAATTTTTTTCCCCTTAAGGAGTGGTATTTTTAGTCAATTTTTCTTTCCCCTCTTCTTTCTCACTTCTCTTTCTGAGTTGAAAGAGAAAAAAAATAAATTAATGGCATTTCAGAATCACAAATCATTGCTTATAACTTTACATAAACATTTCCTCTCAAATCAAACACAATGAACCCCCCCCAAACAAAAGAGAACGTGCTATAAAAACCTAATTTGTTGATTTCTCGAAACACAACTGGTGTCCCACATTGAGTTCTTAACAATAGAACATATAAATAAAAAGGCAGTGTCCTCATGTAAAATAAAAAGTACATAAATAAATACTAAAAAAAAAAAAAAAGGAATTAATTCGTCTTTTTCTTTTCTTTTTTTTCTTTTTTATAAAAACATATTTAAAAAGGATCCTTTAATAAAAGCATCCGACGTCCTTTTAAAAAAAAAAAAAAAATATCCCTCGAGCTTCTGGCTCCCAATGAGCGTCTCTAAAACACTTTTTTTTTTACTTGAAGGCCTCGGGGATGTGTCCCATCTGTGACTGCATACTCGTGGGAGGGCTGGAGATGCCCTCGGACCAGTCGGACACGTTGGAGTGAGGAGAGGAGCTGGACCACTGGTCGGGCGACTCCGGCGATGGCGTGAGGAAAGGGTGGTCGGGCACCTGGAGCTGGTGGCTGGGGGTGTTGTCCAAGGGGGAGGAATAACTGTGCTGGGAAGGCGGCGTCAGGAACTGCGTGGTGGTCATGGGCTGGGCGAGGGAGGAGGGCAGGGAGGTGGGCAGCATCTGGGAATCCTGGGGCAGGATGGTGTGCACAGCCATGGCGCTGCCGCTCACCGGCTGCAGGTCGGGCTGGCTCAGCTCCGTACCGAGGAAATTCTGGCCCATGTGGCCGCTCCCGTTGGAGCCGGGGTTGTGGTGCTGCTGCTGCGGCTGCTGCGGTGGCTGCGGGGGCTGCTGCGGCTGCTGTGGCTGCTGCTGCGGTGGCTGCAGGTTGGGCTGCTGGAGCTGCTGCTGCTGCTGCTGCATCTGCTGGAGCTGCTGGCTCTGCATCAGGTGGGGCTGGGACGCCAGGCGGGTGTTGGGCATGGCCTGGTAGCTCATCATCTGCGACAAGCTGGTGGTGGGCAGCCCGTTGTGCAGCGAGGTCATCATGCCGTGCTGCATGTTTTGGGGCTGCTGGTGTGCCCCGGGCTGCAGGTTGCCTCTCAGGGGGTTGTACTGGCTCTGCACCATCCCGTTCTGCAGCCGGGTGAGCCAGTCACACTGCCCGTTCAGCCCGGCCCCGCCACCCACCGAGAAGCTCATGGGGGCACTGCTCATCCCCGTGCTGGGGCTGGACACCGGCAGGTGGGACAGGCGCGGTGGCACCGAGTCGAAGCCCATCCTGCTGGAGCTGCCCATGGCCATATCCTGCTTGCCTGCCATGTTGAGGTGGTTGATGCTCAGGTGGGCATCGGGCATGCCCGGCAGGTGGTTCAGGGGCATGGAAGGGGACTGCTGGAATGGAGAGGTCATCAGTGGGGGAGAGGCCACGTCCGAGAGGTACCCGTGCGGCGACTCCAGGGAGTCCACTGGAGACAACACGCTGGAGTTGTCAAGCAGACAGCCTTTTCCATCCTGGGACTTTTTCCTCCGGGCTTTGAGGTCTTTGGCATCCTTGCCATTGCAGCTCAGCCCCTTGGTGCTCGGCTTCCTGGCCTTCTTGCCCTGCACGGCGGGTTTGAGGTTGCCGATGTAGCTGTTGGGGGAGCAGAGCGGTGGGGACAGGGTGGGTGCCCCCAGGGGGCCGTTGTGCAGGGTGGGGCTCCGCACCAGGTTGTACTCATCCAGCAGCCGCACGATGTCGTGGTGCATGCGCTCCTGGGCGATGTCCCGTGGCAGCCGGTCCATGTGGTCCGTGATGTCCCGGTTGGCAAAATGGTCCAGCAGGACCTTGGCGGTTTCGTAGCTCCCTTCTCTGGCTGCCAGGAACAGTGGGGTCTCCTCCTGGAAAGGCAGCAAGGTCTGGTTAGGGTTGAGTTCACAGATTCTCCTGGCTAGCGCTGCCCTGAGCTCCACACCCGTGTGGTTGGGTGGCAGAGATGGTCTGCCATCATCTCTCCTCTGGTGAGGGTTTGCTCCTTTCTCCTACCCTGCTGAGCCACGTCCTTGTACTGCTATCAAACCAGGAACCCTGTGAGTGACCCTGAACATGCTGGAGATGGCCACAAAGACACTTCCCACCAGGCAGTGTATGGCCCCTCAACATCACCCCTACAACCAAATCCCTTAGTGCTCCTTTGAGCTAAATCCAACTTCATTCACAGCAGAATGTGTGAATCAGAGTCTCAGTGCCAGACATTTGTATTTTAGCCAGAAATTACTCTTTAACAGACTCCCCAAATGGTTCTTCCCTTGCATATATCAGCCTAGGAGGTCCTACCTTATTATTCTGCATGTCCTTATTGGCACCATTTTTCAGGAGGACCATTGCAGCTTCCACATTATTCACAGCAGCTGCCCAGTGCAGGGCTGACTTGCCTGGAGAGGAGAACCACAGAATACAACACACCATTAGAGAGTGCTGAGATCAACAGCAAGCAGCCCTTTTGTCCCATGTCAGGGTCAAGTGGTGTTTTAGCTGCCTCAGTACCTAAATCATCCACGGCGTTGACGTCAGCGTGGCAGTTGATGAGGTCATCCAGCATTCCCTCCACAGCCAAGCGAGCAGCCAGGATCAGGGGAGTGGTCCCGTCATGCATTCGGGCATCCAGGTCTGTTGCCCTGTTCCTAATCAGGATCTGCCACAAGAAGGGCCAAAGCAGAGGGAACACAAACATTAGGAGGGGCAGACAGCAAGGCACTCCAGGTGTCCAGGTCTCAGGACCTTTCCAAAGGTTCATCTCTCCAATTCTGCTCCCAGTCCAGTGCTGCTGCTGTGAGCTTGCTGCTTTGCTATGCCCCAAGACAACAGAGGCTTCATTTTTTACAAATGTCACCCCACACCTTGCCCAGGTGAGCAGGAGACCTTGTGATAAAACTCTTCACGTAGCACCACGATTTCCCCCCGAAAACCCCAAAACTGGCGGCCAAAGCATCGATTACCTGGAAGACTCCTTGGGCATCGGCAGAGACGGCGGCGTGGAGGGGCGTCCGGCCCATGTTGTCCTGGATGTTGGCATCAGCGCTGGCCTCCAGCAGGCGCTTGGCAGCGTCGGAGCGGGAGTACCTGGCGGCCAGGTGCAGGGCGGTCTCACCCGTGCGGTCAGTCTGGTTGTGCAGGCTGGCGCCCTGGTAGATGAAGTCCGAGATGACGGCGGGGGCATCGTCCTCCTCCTCGCTGTTGCCGGTCTCCAGCCCTCCTCCGCTGCATGAGGCGATCATCAGGGGGGTGAAGCCATCTGGAAGCACAGGGGAGCCCAGGGAAAAAAGGCTTTTTACCCTCTGTAATGCAGGAGGCTCAGCCAGATGCTCTGCCTGCGATAGATGCTTATTCTCCTGGGTGCACCAAGACTGAGTTCCTGACTAGTTCTGAACATCAAACACGAATATCCTTCCTCTGATATGGATCTGAAATTCCTTAGTGGTATCTCACTACTCACTGCTTTCCCTATTTCAGCTGCTCCATGTAAAGTGCAGTTTGTAAGGAAGGCTGCTCAAAGCAAATAGAGTATGGTAAATACCTTCATTATTTCAGAAGATGATTTCACAGACATGGGGAAGACCAAGTGCTTGTAAGAATTTAAAAAGCTATTAACCATTGTTAAAAACCTTAAAAGAAGACTGTGAAATGTACAGTTGGGTGGGAGGAGAAGAATATAGGAGAAGCAGAGAGATAACCTGGATGATTTAATAGGCACTTCTGTGATTTCCATCTCAGTCATTAAACAAAAGAGCTCTCATGGAAAGCAAAATGTGGCAGGGTCTCTCTCTGAATCACAACAGCAACCCTGTGGTGCAGAGCTTGTAGCAGTGACTCTGCACCAGCAAGGAACAGGGAGGGCTGTGGGGCTGCTCCTCTGCAAAGGCTGAGGGAGGGTTTGACATGAGCTGACAGTGCAGAAGTGCAAGGGGTCCTTACCCGGCCCTCTGACGTTGACATCCATGCAGTCAGCATCGATTTCCCCCTGTGGAGGCGTGGGGGCCATGGAGGAAATGCGCAGGTCAGCGGCGTCCAGGTGCTGCTGCGTCCACTGCCTGTGATCCGTCTGGTCATCCGTGTCCGGCAGCATCGCCTGCTCCTCGAACTGAGGGAAACAGCAGGGAATGAGCTCCCAGAAAAGCACCCTGAGCTCCAGCCTGGGAAGCTCTGTGAGGCTCTAAGGCGTGTGTTTGTCACAGGTTTGCAAAGGAGCTGAGCGCAGTAATGAGGGGCCCTGAGCATCCCTCTGCTCCTTCCATAACAAACCCAGGAGTGACTGCCAGCAGCACAGGCAGGGAATGTGGCAGAGGGCTTACCCTGAATTTCTTGGTGTCCAAGGTCTCCTCATCACCCCACTCATTCTGGTTGTCATCCATCAGTGTGCCATCTGAAGCATTTTTGAGGGGTCTTTAAAAATAAAACCACACAAAATGTTATCTCCTCTGCAGGAACTGTTTGTGATGTTCGTCTGTGTACTGTACAAACTGAAAGAAGAATTAACCAGTCTCCACGAGGTTCCCCTCAGGTTGCATTTCATTTCTTACCAAGTGCAAAAAGATTAC